CGTGCCTCATACAATGTCTGAGGTGACTAGGTCATGTCCCAGACCGTCCGATGTCTGAGGTCCGAGGTCACGGACCTCGAACTACCATCACTACACTATTCCCCCCTCCGAAGTCATTCACTTGTGAATGATACGGGAGTTTGTGTTGGGTTTGAAAGTGATGGCTTAAGTCGAGGTGAGGGTATTATGGCACGTGGTCCATGTAATGTACGGCCGAGTCCGAAATGGAGACTGCATGACGTGGCCATGCAACATACGGTTGGAGCCGAAGTGAAGATATGACACGCAGTCATGTGGTGTACGGTTGGAGCCAAAGTGAAGATGTCACGACACGACCATGTAACATATGTAACATATGATCGGAGTCGAAGTAAAGATATGTCACGTGGTCATGGAATGGGTGACTGTAGCCAAAGTGAAGATTGCATGACACGTGGCCATGTAACAAACAATCAGAGCTGAAGTAAAATGCATAACACATGGTCATGTGTTTTAGCAGTAGCCAAGGTAAAAATGCATGACGTGGTCATTTGTATTGGCCGTAGCCAAAGTAAAAATGCATGATCGTAGTCATGTGTTTGGACCGTAGCCAAAATGAAATTGCATGACACATGGTCATGTGTTTGAACTGTAGTTGAGATGAAAATGCATGACACGTGGTCATGTGTTTGGGCCGTAGCCGAGATGAAAATGCATGACTCGTGGTCATGTGTTTTGGGCCGTAGCCGAAATAAAAATGCCATGACACGTAGTCATGTAGTATGTGTGGCCGGAGCTGAGAATGACAACCTGAAAGTGACAACTCGAAAGCGATGACTTGCGACCTCATGCGCCATAATAATGGGAGTCAACCTTTGAGGGTCATGTTCTATATAACTAAGATCAGAACTAGTTTTTGTAGAGTTGATTGAATGCCAATTTTGGTAGCCAGAGATGCCTATCACAGATTCCCATCTTGAGATATCCATAAGAAAATCTTGGTCTCTCGAGTCACAACATAAAAATCAAACCCTTTGAGGGTTGTGCTCTACAGAGCTAAGACTGAATTGGGCTTTCATAGAACAAATGAGCTGAGAAGCTAATAATTGATGGGCAAAAACTCTTGTAGATCGAATGGGCTAAAAAAGCCAATAGCTAACGGGCTTAACGGCCAATAATATTTTCTGATGACCAATGGGTTCAAAAGCTGATAACATACTTTCAAGTCTTCCAAGCAAGGAGTTAACAAACTCTTGAGACCTGTAAAAATTCATTCTAAACATAGAACTTGACAAGATGCCATTAGTTTATCAATAGTCAATAATATATGAGATGCATCAACATTAAAGTGGCACAATAATTTAGAATTAAATATAAATGTTTGTGACATGAGTCATCAAAACAAACAATGCTAAAATATGAGTTTCAAAATATATTCAAGCTGAAATATTCAAGCAACAAGTTAAGCATATGCCAAGTAAAATATAAAAGTTTATTTTTGTTGCTTATGTTTATGTATTCCTACTCCCCTTCTCAAAGAGAGATTTATCTCTTTTAAGTTAGAACCAATAATAAAGACCACTAGCTCATGGATACCATTAGCTTGTGGATTATTCCACTATTTGCATAAGGCTCCACAATAGTATTAATATAAATGAATGCCATTTATGCCACCCACTTTAATTAAAAAGGACCATCACAATATTTAATATATTCAATAAACAAGGGATTAATGAGCTCAGCATATTTCACGAACAAGTGGTCCTTGAAAGATGAATCATGAGTCCGTCTTGATACCTCATCAGTTGCCGTAAATAATTAAAATTATGAAATAAAGAAACAAGCTCGGGTGTTACCGACAAGAGTCTCCAATAAAGAAACAAGTTTGGAAGGTTTCTTTAAGGTGTTGGTTGCACATGGAACCCACACAAAACACTTGATACACATATATTCATATGTTTTGGAGTAAGAAAAAGAAACGAAGGTAGCAGAGCTCGAGTTTAGCAGCTCCATTACCACGCAAGCAAAAGTAGCACAAAGTCCCCATTTCTTGTCCCTTGTATAGTTCGGCAACTTTGAGCTTGGTTACTAAGCTCGATTATTGAACTTAACCAAGCTATGTCCTTAGCTGAGCATGGTGCATCTCAAGCTAGGCAATTTGAAGCTTTATAGAATCCAAAGCAGAGATATAGTATAGCTTTTAAACACTTAAATTTCTAGTTGAAATTATAACTAATATATATGTGTCTCTTTGTTCTTCGTTGATCAAAGAGTTCTGCAATAGAAATGAGTAGATATCAAGTGATCTCATTGCACTTGTCTTTTTTGGCATGTGTGCCGAGCTGAAGGATTAATGCTTTGGGTTTCCCTTAATGTTATAATCTCTTATATGTTGGCCTTGAAATGGGCTATCATGAGGATGAGTTCAAGTAGTTGAGTTCAGCCGAGATTACTTACCTCATCCAAGGTAGTTCACCTTTGGAGATTATTTACCTCATACCATCACACTATTCCCCCTCTGGGGAGTCATTCACTTGTGAATGATATGGAGGTTACATGGGTAGGGGGTAGTCCGAGTTCATCCGAGGTCGTTTGCCTCATCCAAGGTAGCTCAGCTCATCCAAGGTAATTCACCTCGGAATGGGCTGTAATGAGGATGAGCTCGAGCTCAAGCAGTTGAGCTCATCCGAAGTTGTTTACTTCATCCAAGGTAGTTCACCTCGGAATGGGCTATCATGAAGAGGAGCTTAAGCAGTTGAGCTCATCCGAGGCTGTTTACCTCATCCGAGGTAATTCACCTCAGAATGGGCTATCATGAGGAGGAGCTCAAGCAGTTGAGCTCATCCGAGGCTGTTTACCTCATCCAAGGCTGTTTACCTCATCCAAGGTAGTTCACCTCAGAATGGGTTGTCATAAGGATGAGCTCAAGCAGTTGAGCTCATCCGAGGTTTACCTCATCCAAGGTAGCTCATCTCGGACTACCATCACACTATTCCCCCTCTGGGAGTCATTCACTTGTGAATGATGTGGAGGTTACGTGGGTAGGAGGTAGTCCGAGTTAATCTGAGGTCGTTTGCCTCATCCAGGGTCATTTGCCTCATCCGGGGTAGTTCACCCGGTTATCATGAGGATGAGCTCAACTAAGTTTTATGAACTTAAACAAGTTTCTAATTCAGCACATGAAGTTCCTATTGTTAAAGTCCAAGGCTAACCATATTATATGATAAGGATATAAATATATACATATATATATATATATATATCTTTAGCTCAGTATCACAGTTAATAACTGTAACTTGAATAAATTATAAAGCTGCACTTCTTAATCATAAGTTCCTATTAGAAGTCATAATATATGACTCTTCTCCCCCCTCAACCCACACATTTGGGGTTGGTAAACATAAACGTTGTAATCGTAAATTACCTTATTTGCATTTTTTATGCTTTAACATGTCCAATAAACAAGCAGTCATGCATGTTGTAATAAGAAGTCTCTCTAGCTGGTAAATATAACAACAAAAAATTGGACATGCAAAATAACTCATAAAAATCTTAAATGTGCAAAGGAATTTTGAAATTTCTAATATGTAACACTTACTTGACTTGCTAAGCAGAATTAATTTATACTTGAGGAAAGAACTGCGCCCGATGAGATAAAAGCTCAAGAAAGAATTTAGCTTATCATGGACGATGTTAGCTCCCTCTTGCCACTTAAGGGTCATGCTCAAAATCAAGCATGGTTCTTGCTCAATTTTACTAATGCTTCGCTGAATTTCTCTAGAGCCCATACATGTAAGGTCTCGACTCGTGATTCTTCATCCACTCTTTTTAGCTCATCATTCTTTATATGAGTTTTGAGTTTGTAGCTCGTCATTTTTCATCGAAGCTATGTGAGGAGGTTGTGAGTTTGTTATAGCAAACTGTTTGCGAGGAGCTTCATATTTGCCAAGTAGGCCAGCATAATTAATCTATTCCCTGCACTTTTCCATCTCTAAAATAGCAATGTATATTTATAATCGTAAGTGCAAATGAGCATAGCATGATTATGATATATAAAAAATGAGATGGCAAAATGATATTATGAATGCAAAAACAAGTGCAGAATGAATGGAAAAATGTGGAATGAATGCAAAAAATGTGGAAAGCAATTAATAATAAATTTTAATATAAGATTGGACCAAGCTTGGACCAAAGCTCTAATTTGCTGCGGAGCTCGATTGCTTTCTTTGACAACCTGTATCACAAGGACTTGAAAAAAGGAGAAATCAAAGGCATCTAATCTTATAACCAAGAAAGTATACTATATAAAATAAATAAAAGAAAAAGATTGCAAGTTCACCTTTTTTAATTTTCAAAACAGTACATGACTGATGAACTAAATTTATATACATATTAATATAAAATTTATGCCTTGATATTATTGATATTTGGATGAATTTTATAAAAATTTACTTAATTTTGCATAATTTTCATTCTGTGCTGGAGAGGACTTAATTGGAAAAAGTCACAATCCTTAGGAGTAAATTGCAAAGATATGAAATTTGAGGATTAAATTGTGCAGAATCCAAAAGTAAGGGATGGGGACTGTAATTTTACCGTTAGCAGAATTTGCAGAGAAGGACAAAAACCCGACACGGACTCTTCAGGACGGATGCAGGAAAAGTGTCGGCACCTTGTTCAGGGTGTTGACACCTTTCAGCTCGTGCTGCACATCTTCCAGCTCATGCTCGACCTCTGCACCTCGTGTTCAAGTTCTGCACTTCGTGCTTGGCCTCTGCAGCTCGTGGCTGACCTCGGCAATAAGCGTTTGAGCTCTACAACTCATGCTCGAGTTCTGCACTTCGTGCTCCACCTCGGCAGCAAGTGTTTGAGCTCTGCAGCTCATTCTCGAGTTCTGCACCTCGTGCTCGAGTTCTGCACCTCGTGGTGGACCTCCACAGCTCGTGTTGGAGCTCTGCACTTTATGCTTGACCTCTGCAGCTCGTGTTTGAGCTCGGCAGCTCAAGTTGGAGCTCTGCGCCTTGTGCTCGACCCCTGCATTTCGTGCTCACCCCTTGCAGTTCGCATCTTGGACTGCTATTCACATATCGGACTCCTGCAGTTCGCAGCTCATGGTCCAGCATGTCGCACCTCGGCATTTCTCAGCTCGGACTTCGATGACGAGGTTGGAGAGCTTGAGGCGTTGGCGGATGGCGCAGGTGGCGGCAGCCATGTGACCGGGGAACCAGTTGATGACTCCACCATCTTTGTTGAATGCCATCTCCCCCAACTCCATGCCTTTCCTCACCACACCCTCCAACCCCATTTCTATTTCCTTTATTTTCTATCACCAACTAAATAGATGAGAAGTACGTTTATGGTTGAAGAATAGAGGGGCACATGGTTGTCATAGCTGAAACCAAAGGAGCTTGGAAGGAAAGGGATAATTTTTTTTTTTTTTTTTTTTTTTTTTCACAAATTTGCTTGGTGCATGCTGTCAAGCTAGGAGACTGCTTTGCCATTGCCGAGCTAGGAGACTACTTTGTTGCTGCCTAGATGGGCTGCTCTGCTACTGCCGAGCTGGACTGCCTTGCTTCTGCCGAGCTGGAGCACTGGTTTGAGCTTTGCTGCTGCCGAGTTGGCTGTTGTGCTGCTGCCAAGCTGGGCTGCTCTGCTGCTGCC